CAGCTAATTACCATATACCTGTATAATTTATTACTCTAATATGAATATTATTTTTATTTAAACAGTTTTCAGAATTAGTTATCGACATCGATAGAATTTTGTTAGGTATGTGAAGTAAAATAAATATTATTTAGTCTATGCAAACTATGCAAATATTTTCATTGAGTGTTTCTCAATAAGAACTCCCTCCCTCCTCCCCCCCCCCAAAAAAAAAAGCTTCACATTGTGAGTCCCCATGAGACATGTCATCCAACTATATACACACAGATGGCATCGAAATACCCTTTCTGTTGACCGTGACTAAACGAAATTACAAAGGTTTTTGTCTTTTTGTCTTCTCGGTGTGCGAGCAACCTTTCGATATTGAATTTGTCAATCGTACTTTTCCCAATAGACAATATGGAAATCTAACTAATATAAATCAGAATATCGTGGTACACAAAAATACGCCAACTGGTGTTTTTTGTTATTATATATATATATTTTTTTTTTAAGTATAATAATATGCGATGCACTGTTACCTACATACCACCACCTACGATAGTATATAGGTACAACCATATAATATATGCATATACATACGCGTTTAATTTTATTCTATACGCGTTAATTAATTAAAATAGCGCATATTAATTAATTTGTAACAGTAAGCCCAAACAACGCCCAGCAACAAAAACATAATTCGATGGAATAATATTAAAACACTAAAATATTAAATACCAACACGAGAGGGGGAAACAATTTTCTCTGCGAACTACGTTCTACACGTCATATATTTCACGCGCGTGTTTTAGAATTCGTGCGTAAAACGAAGATACTCCGTTCTTCGCTTACGAATCAAGAATTCACCAAAACCCCAACCAGAATTATATAAATTAACGTATTTTAATTTAATACATCGGCGAATGTTTAGTCATTTATTGATATTCAAGACGTGGTATAAATACATCATTATGTATTTATGTACAAACCCAGTTGGCCAACACGCAAAGAAATAAAATTACTAATCGTATAAAGAGTGATCTAAAAATAACGGATCAATCCGTAGTAATGGAGGAGGCCGATAACAGGGGCAGCTGGAGAGACTTGGTAGAAGCTGCGAAACGCCTTGAAAGCGTGTAAAGCAAAAAAAAAAAAAATTACATAATAATATTATCGTCGTTAAAAAACGGAAAATACATTTAAACATTGCAGTTTTGTGTTCTTACACACACATATTAAATAATATGAATGTATGACATTATACTTAGAATGAGTGACTACAATCGCCGAGCAAAAAAAACTGGTATAAACATTTTAAATGAACTATTTAATATATCTAAATTACACAAATATCACTAATAAAAAAACTTACCATGGATAATTTTTTATAAAAATTTCGATATACAAAAATCAAAATCCAAATGAGCACTTTTGTGTTGTTCAACTGTATGTATACAGAATATTAGTCTATAATAGGTTTGAAATCCATGGGTAGTATTATGATTTTGAAATTATAACAATTGTATTTATGTTGTATAATATTAATAGGTACACTTGATTATTTGTAAAAGGTGTCTGACTGTATAAGTACTTGATAAATATGACATATATTTATATTTAATATAATACCATAAAGGACTTTAATGAATGACCATTATTATACTGAATATAAACATACTGATTAATAACTCAAAAGACAAAAACTATTCGTTAAAATTTTGATTTAAATGCCTCGACGTTTTCATAAAATAATGAGTTAAATAATTTACAATAAAAAGAGCGGTTATGTCATTACTCGTTTCAACAAAAATAAGTATGAATTACTCCAGAGAATTTTTAAGTTACATAAAAATCTGAATTATGTGAACATTTGAATCATCTTGTCCATATTTTAGATAAATGTACTTTGCGTATATGGTACATTAAATTTAAATTGTTATGAAAATAATACTGTGCTCATTTCTCACAGACCATAGTGTAAATCATACAACGCGAAGTATTTACTTGAATTTAAAATAGGTCTTTACAAAAGGATTCGGAAGAAACTCCTAATTGAATCCTCGACCCTCCTGTAGTAACTCCAGAGCTATAAAAAAAAAGTATTTGTTCCCTATAATAGTCGTTATTCGTTCTGAAGCAAATAAAGTTTATTATTTATTTCGGTACAAATTGAGTTTGTGTCTATCAGAACTAAGCTTGGTGTATATTTTACCCACACTTTTGAATTTAAATTTTTCGCGTAAACTTGAACGTTTTCTTTTCTGTGGCTTATCGTTAGCTGCGGAACCAATAACTCAGTGAACCAATAAGAAATATTTATTCTGTAACAAAAAAACTCTGGAAATGAATAAACTATATTTGCTTCGTAACATTTTGTAGAAAATAGACAAAGGAGTCAAATAAGAGTTCATTCCCCGACCTCTACAAATATAAGAAACAATATTATGATTATTCAATACTGGATAACTTGGTAATATTTTAGTATTTCTTTCAAAAATTAGAATAAAAATACAATAAGTGATTGATATGCAATTGTCTTTGTAACCTGACGAATTCAGTGGTATCAACAAATTAAGGAATCGACTGGAAATCGGTGGAGTGGTGACGGTAGTAATATAAGTAGGAAAAAAGGGGGGAAAGGATATAGAAAGGAAAGGATGTTCGGGTGGTTATCCAGATTCGCTTACAAGGGCTTTCGCTGTCCGTGGTTTGGAGGAAATATTGCAAGTCGACCACGTTATAACTGATCAGTGTATCATGAACACGTATAGTAGGCATAGGAGCATAGGTCCGCTCCCTTAAAGCCTTCCTGGTTATATGTATAAAGTGACCACCGGTAGCCCTGCTGTGGTGGATAACATAGGGGCGAGTTCGGAGCTAAGCTATCAGAACAAAATAAACTTAACGTTTGGACATCGTACATACACGACCATTTATTTTGTTTTAATTATAGAAAAATAAAACATTGCATATTCAATATATTTGAATAGCTTTAGATATAAATGTAAATATCCACCATAAAATATAGACAACCTTCGACTAGTGTGCACTGTCGTTTTTTTTATATACCGCTTATTCGAAAAAAGTCATAAGATTAGAAACATAAAAATAACGTATGTGGCTTGGTGTAGAGCGGTCCGTACACTCAATTGTGGAAATACTCTAAGTGTAAATATCGGCCAACGTTACTAACCCCCGGATGGGTGACCACCTCCCCTCTACAAACAAAAAACAGCTTATTGCCATAGTTGCCGGACTTAAGAAGACGCCACACGGACATTTGTATTGTCTCCGTCTTACAAGTGCGTAACAAATTTACGCTCAGCAGATAACGTTTAGCTCCATTTTAAAAATTAGAGAGAATCGACCTATTATGAAACTTGATGGTAAGAACATATTCTATGTTCGTATATTGGTTTTTTACGATAGTACAGTTTATAAGTGAGTTACGGTCATTTTTAATTTAAGCTATATTATATACGCATAACTTGCCAAAAAATTGAACTACCGTAAAAAACCAACATTCAATCACAGATAATGTTCTTACCATCAAGTTTCATAATAGGTCGATTCGCTCTAATTTTTAAACTAACGGAGCTAAACTTTATCAGCTAAATTTGCTATGTTACGCACTTGTAGTACGGAGACAATCCAATTTAAGATAGTAAATTATCAACAAAAAATACCAAACAAATTTCTGTATAACAAGATAAATTTGCAGTAAGTAGTTACGTATTAATTAATTCAATGCGGGATATCATTATACAATGATTAAAAAAATTACAATTTATAATTCCATGTTGCTCATTATAAACAATAGAAGATAAATAATATAATAATATGTACCATAACTAGCTCTGCTATTAAAATATAATTAAATAAGTACAATTGAGAAATTTAAAAAAAATATTAAATAGATCGAGTATTTACATTAATATATTCAGACTGATGAATATTAAAAGTATTATAGGTACTAGGTGGTAAACTATTATGACGTTATAGTATAATTACAATACCTACTAATTTATTGGTTTTTAAAATGTATTGTTTTTGTTAATCTATATCTGATTTTTTCTTTTGGTTGATTTATAAGCTTTGTGTAATGATATACACAAATAATGAAATATATTTTAAAAATTAATTAACACAACATTTGTTTACCATTTTCATTCATGTATTATTCTGGTAATAAATATTTTAAATAATAATAAAAAAAAATAATTGCACCTTGCATGACTTATAAGTTACAACTTTACAAGTACCAAATCAAATTTTTATTTTTATTTATTACTCTTATTAGTTATTATCCAATTCTTATTGGAAAAATAGGTAAACTATTTTATTATTTCTTCCCCATTCGGTGTAAGTTATAGTCTGTCTCTCTCACTCAGTGTTCAGATCGTCAAACCTATGGGTATTATAAGGAATGCACAGTCCATTTCTTAATAAGTCTATGTTTGACATATTTATATTTAGTGAGTACCTACCTACTGAAGGATGGAATGCTCAGCCAGAGGTTCGATTTGCCCGTGAAAAATACCCAGACGAACTGAGATGTACTGAACTGCGAAATGTCTATGTATGAAAGGATTTCACTTAACGAAAATTTACAGGTACCCATCTTTTATTTTTATAATAAACTTAAATGTAACATATTATATTATGTATTTATCTATATTTTTTAATCGTAATATTAGTATTGTATATTTTTGTTGAATTTATAACATCTAATAACTAATAAGTTTAAATAATGTACCAATTTTTGAATACTATTTGATATTTATACATGGTTTACACTTATGGATTGGCATTGCTTTTTTATCATTTAAAAAATATTTTAATAATTATATTAATTCAAATTACTATACATGATATTTAAATGAAACGATCAACGAAAGAGACCTAAGTAAATTGGTCAGTATTACGATTACAATATTGAATAAATATCGCGACGATAGGGCCTTAGAAAATCGTATATACATTACAGTTTATATAAAAAAAATATTTTATCATCACGTTTAACATTTGCCAGGGCCTTTCCACCACTTGTTGATGTCTTCGTAATGTCTGGGCGCTCGGTTCGTGTCGTGGAGCATCGCGCACAGCCGGCAGTATAAACGAGTGTCCTCGATTATCGTGCCCGAGCCCTTCCACTGGAAATATTTGTTGTACAGCTGGTGGTTGCCGTCTAACAAGTGCAAATAGTCAGCCAGCTCTTTTGGTGACCCGAAGTCGTCGACATGTATGAATGAATTATTTGGCGCTATTAATTCGTAATAGCTCCGTTTCGGTCCCATGACGATCGGCACCACGTCGTTACTGCACATCAATATATCGTATACGTTTACTGATTAAATAATATTATGTTATACAATGCGATTCATAATAATTTGTATTATAGAGAACGATTTATGAAACAAAACGTTAAACATTATTGCTGTAAGTGCGTATAAAGATTCCACCGAATTTAAGGTCCAAGAATTTGGCCCACCAACTTCGCCAAATTCATTCCAAATCTATGCCAACATTTTGCGAATAATTTGTTAGAATTTGAGAGTCCATTCCCGGAATTTGCTAGTCAACCAAATCTCAGATACGAGCTTTCAAAGTTCTGAATTTGGCCCACCTGCCCAACTCAAAACAGTCCAAAATGGTATCAAAAGTTTAGATTTTTTATCAAATAGATTTTTTTATTCTATTAAAATTTTTATCAACTATGGTTTTATAATAAAAATAGAGTTGCTCTTCTATTTAGATTTTTTATTAAATATAGATTTTTATCAAATATAAATTCTTTATAAAGATTTTTTTATAAATTCTGTCTGTTTATAAAAATTCCATATTTAATAAAAAAAATAAAAAAAACCATATTTGATAAAAAAAAATCTAAATAGAATAAAAACATGTAAATTGAATAAAAATCTATGTTAAATGTTTTATCAAATAATAAATAGATAATTTGATAAAATATCTTGGAAATTTGGTAATGTTTGTGTCAGAGCCGGACTAACGTACCTAACCTTAACTAATTTTACCTAACCAGAAATAAATAAGAACGTAAATCAAAAACTTGATATCTAAAATATAAACGTTGAAAGAGGGTTATAAAAACTATTATATAAACAAATCATTTTCATTGAATCAGAAAAAAACATACTTCAAAGTTCAAACTATGTAAGTACATATTTTTTTTCTAAATACAAGTTTTAAAAAAAAATTAAAAACAGAATAATAATATTTAATACATAATGATATAAAAAAAAATAGAATATATTTCAATTCTGTAGCAACATTATTAAACATCTAACTCTGATGAATGAATAATCAAGCCTGCAGAAAAAAGGTCAACCCTGATGAAAGAAAGGTCAACTCTGATGAAGAAATGGTCAACTCTGATGAAAAAATAGTCACTTCTGATGAAAGAAAGATGAAGCCTGATGGAGAAAAATGTCAGGTTAGGTTAGGGTCAGGTTTTTATTCTATTTAAATTTTTTATCGTATAAGGAATTTTTATCAAACAGACAGATTTTTTGTTCAGAATTAATAAAAAAATCTTTATAAAGAGTTTATACTTGGTAAAAATGTATATTTAATAAAAAATCTAAATAGAAGAGCAACTTTATATTTATTAAAAAAAATAAATAGTTGATAAAAAAAATTTGAATAAAATTTTGAAACTATTTTGGAATGTTTTGAGTAAGGTGGGTTTGCCAACTTTAGAAATTTGAAAGCTCGTATTTGAGGTTTGGTGGACTAGCAAATTCCGGGTATGGACTCGCAAATTACTTGCAAATTACTCGAAAAATGATATAGATTTTGAATGGATTGTGGGAAGTCGATGGGCCAACTTCATGGACATCCAATCGAAATTACCTTTTTATTTGTAAGAAACTTATCGATTTCGCTAATTTTCGACTACACCGAACTTTTTTTTGTGTTGATTATACCAGCTCATATATAGTTACATTATATTATATTATTATTACTTTCACTGAAAATTGATGATGAGGATAAAAAAAACAGCAATAATTAAACGGATGAAAGATGAAACATCTAAATTTAATCCGAAAAATGTCATTTTCTTCAATATCATAAGAACAATTAACTAACAGTTTAACACAGAGATTTCTGAGAGAATAATCAAAAATATAATTAGGGCTAAATCAACATATTATTTTCAAATATCTAAAGTAGCATATTATACGTTTAGACTCACCTCAGTGCATTTATGAAAAACTTTTCAGTTACATAATAAATGCAATGCGAACTTTCAAAAGACAAATAGAATTTATAATCCTTTTTCAGCATCTGAAAGCATTCCGCTTCTTTGGACTTAGGACATTGGAGTTTCCCGCAGCCACCGTACACGTCAACCGATATGTGTTTGGCGAGTTCGTTTGCATAAATCATACGTTTGTTATACGGATTGCAGTTCGAGACGAACCACGCCACTTTCTTTGTTTTGTTAAGAGCGTAATTTTTTTCACAGGCACGAGGCAGAGGTGAATTATTTTCCACGAAGTATCCATAAGGAAACGGTACATCACTGTCCCAGCGGTAGTTGGCCGTCCAATTGAATACGCTGACGTCACTTACAGGTGTATACGAGTGATGCACCGGGCATTCGGTGTATAATAAAATCCAAATCTATAATACGATGAATGACAAAATAATAACACAGATGCAATATCAATAAAGTTATATTGTCTATGTCAATAACTCGAAGTGGCACATGTACAGTGTTTTCTCTTTGACGAGGGCCACGATTTTCTTACCTGATTGGGAGGCCTTCGGTACTCAGGGCGGCTGTAACTATGTCTGAAAAGCACCGCATCGACATCCGGACCCAGTGACTTATTGTATGTCAACCAACATTGACTCACGGGACATCCAAAGAACTCTCCCTGGTCGGGTTTAAGAATCTCCCATATGTGGCCGATTCCGGTTTGGATTAAAATCTGTTTGTACGGTGTCTTCGAGTACCTGTAGTCTTTTGGCACGTAATTTATTTGCTCTTTGATTCTGTCACCGTAAGGCAACTGTTCTGGCCACACCAATCTCGAATAAGTAAAATTGTTATCAGCACCTATATTTTTGACGAAATTGTATGTACGATGTCAAAAAAACTAGTAACATAAATTTAAAATTATTATATCAACTTAAGGTTTTAGTGGTATCTTACAATACGTAATATTGACGATTGAGACGTGGTCATGCTGAAAAAGGATTAACAAATACTTATTACTATTTAAAACACAAAATTAAAAGAGTAATATTAAGTATAATAATAGTAATAAATAATAATAATATATTTTGTGATATCCATTATTCACATATGGTATACAATACTACATTTAAATATTGATTGTGGTCAGTACTTTGTCGTAAATATTACGTGCCGTTGAGTTAAGTCTTATAGTTACTATATGTCTCTTGGAATACATTACTTAAAATATACACCACAACAGGTAAATACATTTACTTCCATTTTACAATTAGGTACCTACTGAATAGTTCCTCCTATATAGTATATAGTATATAGCAGAACTCTATTAATAGTTAATTGAATTTTTAACCATGCCACTGTAGGTATATTTTTATTTTTTATGTCACGTGATATAATGAGGCATAAATGCGTAATGTATATTAGGCACAAAATACTCTATTGTTGATATTTACCTACTGTAAATACAATAACTAGTTAGAATAAAAAAAAATTAAAATTCTAAAAAATATATAATCACAATTTAGTCAAGTATACACTATTGTCTATTATACTTAAAACTTTTATATAATATATTATTATATTTTAAAAATATTTAGTTTAATTTTAAGCTATTACCAATTTATACACGAACCTATTCTTGCCGTTTAAAGTTAAGTAGGTAGGTATTACCTCAAAAGTTTATGATGATATAATAAAATATAATAAATTATAGGCATAGTTAATAGTATACACTATAGTATGTTTATAATAACTAATAACATGTAAATGCTCTGTTTTTAGAAAAATGAATTCAAATCTACTAAATTACAAATAAAGTAAAAAAAAAAATGTTTACCTTCCTAATATAATTATTATTTAAACATCCAACAAACCGAGCCTTCTGAGAGGTTGTCGGATAATTGTATCTTATATACACAGCTGAGGCACTCACTATATATAAAGCCCTATCATACATAATAAGTGCCACTTGCAAAATAAATAGTATATAATTTTAACAGACTCCGTGAGCACTTTATCTAGCCTTAGTAATATTAATAACGATAATGTTATCATCGTTAATAAAATAATAAATTAAACATAATTTTATGATGGATACCCGGGCACTGCGGAATAACTGGTAATGAAAGAGCGGACATACTTGCCAAGGAAAAAGCAAACAATCCACATCACCGAACCCTCTGGAATATAAAATCGGACAAAGATATAAAAAGTGATATACAACTGATTTAAAAATAAATGGCAAAACGAATGGTTATAAATTAACACTAAATTAAACGAAATAAAAAAAAAAAACAGTAAAATGGAATAACCCAATGTCTCTCAAAAGAAGAGACGAAGTAGTATAAATCACCTCAGAATAGGTCATACACACTATACAGTATACACACATGCCCATCTCATGAAAAAATAGTCACCAAGAACATTTTATACATGCGGAGTATCCAACCTCATCAAACACATCATTACATAATGTAGAGATACGCAAGAGGCCTGACAAAAATACAATATACCTGAGCACCTTCACGAGTCACGACGCACTGGGCCCCGACAAAGAATCCATCAAAAATATATTATTATTTACGAAAAATATTAAATTGTACAATTTAGTTTAAATTATTTAAGTAACTATGTAAAACAAGCCAATGGTCCCGTCATCGAGGCTTTCTTCTTACATAAAAAAAAGTATATTTATACCTACATAATAAAATATTCTTATAGGATTAATTTTAAATGTACTGACATTTTTTTTTACTTTTGATTACCACCCCCCTCCAAAGTACCAACTAGATCCGATTTTCTACCAGCAACCACGCTTAATAATATAATAAATATTAATGCATTTTTACTCATCTAAAAGGTAGAGACAAAAGAATAAAAAATACATCATTGAAAATCAATAAATGCATCACTCCGCTCGAAATTAGAAATGAAGGTTTTTGTATTATCACATGACACTCAATAAATGGTAAAATCAAAGTACCTATTAGAAAAGATGGTCCTTATAAGTATAATCAAAAGTTCTCAGATTCAGAATTTGAAGAAATGCATAATTATAAGATAAAATAGGTTTGAGCATCCTCGGTGAATCACTCAGTATAATATTCATAGCTAAATGTGTAGATGATAACCGGTTATAGCTTTTGTATAAAAAGAATTATGATGTTGAAAAACACTTACTTTCCTGAAAAAAACCATGATCACGGTCAATATACTTATCGTCACTAATAAAAATATGAATTTTCTAATTTTGATTAGACGTTTAATACACAAAAACGGAGAATTTATATTTCTATAATCGTTAGTAATCTCCGCTATCATTTTACAATACTAATATTCAAATATTAAATGTATGTAGAAAAATTATCGTGACATAATTATCAGTTTTGATACTTAAATTAATTAAACTATTGTAATTTGTAATCCACGAAAGTACCTAACTATATACAAAAACATTATTGTTATTACATAACATTATAATATAATTTATATTATACTGTGAGCAATAATATTTAATAGCTGAGTAAAAAACCTGTGGTAGAACTGTAGTTTCAATTGGTAAAACACCTGTGGTTATTACTTTTATTTATTTAGACAAGCTGTTGGGGATTGATTAAAATAAACAATTAATTAAATATTGCATTTAATAGTTCAAAATTATTCTATGCACCTATATTACACATTATGTATTTTTTAGGTTAGGTTTTTAAAGTGCTTATATCATGGCTTTGAATTTGCCTGTCAACACAGCGATTATTGAAATATATAAATAGGTGTCATAAAGTAGGGCATCACATGCAGGGTTTTTGTTGAAATTTTAATTTAGAGATTTTTAAGTATGTATGATTTTACAGCTTGAAAATGCTGATAATTTGCTTCAAAATTTAAATGTTAATAACAATATATTCCCACAAGATGCTCTAGATAATACTCAATTATTGTTAATTAATCAACAATTAGCTGGTACCCATACATTAACATCATAAAATGAATTCTACTAAATAAAAATTTGTAATAATGTTTAATGATATAGTAACATAGACGTATAGACAACACAAATACACAGCTAATCGGGCATTACGTCCACTTTAAGATGCATGACGTTTTGTATGATGGATACAACTTATGCATAATATACCAAATTTTACATTCAGAATAATCCATATTCCGTTTTAATATTTTAGAATTTTACTCTGTTTTTAATAATGAGAGTGACGTGCCGTCAGATTTAAATGTATGAATAAAAATTATCTAGAACTCAACGCCTCCAAGTATGTTTTTTTGATATTTGAATTGTAAAGCAAGTTATGAGAATTTTAAAATGTATAAAATTGTAACATAAAAAAACCTTCGACGTTCGTGAGGCTCTAGTAAATATTCTCACCTTTAAATATGATAATATATTAGTTCACTCTTATGTTAAAAATAACAGAATTAAATTTCATAGCTGTGAAATATATTTTATATACAAATTATATTGAGCTCCGTTCTGTAAGTAGGTGTACTTTCAATATAATGTCTGCAGATCCGACATTTTTAGATGACGTAATATGTACTATATGTCTATATGATAAAACCGCATGTCCATGAGGTAAAGATGGGAAAATACAGGTCTGTAAAACATGAATTCGAGTACCTAAGCCTGATTAGTTACAGCCTACGGTGCAGCTGTTTTTATTGATAAATTGAAATTCTTACATCCGTCTAGATACAGGATGTCCCGAGAGGATAATCCGTTAGCCGTAAAGGGGGACTCCCCGCCCTGACAAAAACTGTTTTTTTGCCGTTTTACATATAAACAACTAAAAAAATTATTAAAAATCATGAGATTAATGAAAATAAAATGTTGAAAAGTCAAAATGTTCTCAAAAATAAACTCTATAAAATGGCTTCAATTGCTTCAAAAATAAAAATATAAAAAAATTACTTTTTTACTTTTTTACCAAAGAATTTAATTAAATTAAAAAATAAAATATGTGTAGTCCTTAAATCTGTGAATCTAATAAAAAAAATAGATTTATGATATTATATTTATTATATCAGAAAATATCGCAATGAGTAAATCCCGGAGTAAATCCTCTCGGGACACACTGTATATACAGTCGAGTCTCTGTAACTCAAATTTCAAGGGAGATGAAAATAAATTTGACTGTATTTTTAAATTATACACGGTGTAATAGATAAAGAACTAAAGACCTGACAATGTAATACATTTTATTCTAATATTACATTTAATTTAGATTTTGATAGGAGCGAAGGATCTAGTAGTTTTACAATGATGTTTATTATTTTTTTTTTTATCCTGTAAATGAAATTTATACCAGAAGGAGTGCTTCGATTTAAACATATAGTATCTTATCTTTTATCAAATTGGATAAAGATGGTACTTTAAGCAGGACATTTTTCGATTTTCTCAATAGTTTTTTAGCACCACGGGAAAAACTACCAAAATACCCTATGCTAAGCTATTTTTTTTAACGCTTAGTTTAGCAGTTTATCACCATAGAAACGAATACAATTTTAAAATAACCGCTAAAAAATGAATATGTATGAATTTATATTTATTCAATTTACTATTGAACATAAACATAATTTATAAATCTAATTTCATATTATTTAATTATATAATTTTGCAACATATAATTACTAATTGTTACACGGATCCCAAGCTCAGAATCGTGTTTTATCGAAGGCAATCATTGCATTCATATCGAAAACTGTAATAATACACTATAATGTCCGAGGACCGAAGGGACGATGCACAAACTTCCAACACCGTTTACACACTCCACTCTCCTGCACTTACCCACTTTTAGATTATGAGCGGAGCAGAGTGGTTTTACAATGTATTGATAAATTACAAAAAAACCGTTAAAAATGCTTTTAATTTCTAATGCTTTGTATATCACCATAGAAACGAATAAAAAATTATAATATCATAATATCATAATATTAATTCAACTTACGGGCTATAGTAAATAATATAAATAT